GCTATTCAATCTATAAATTATTTATTTTTTGTTTAGCTATTTCAATCTATAAATTATTTATTTTTTGTTTAGCTATTTCAATCTATAAATTATTTATTTTTTGTTTAGCTATTTCAATCTATAAATTATTTATTTTTTGTTTAGCTATTTCAATCTATAAATTATTTATTTTTTGTTTAGCTATTTCAATCTATAAATTATTTATTTTTTGTTAAGCTATTTCAATCTATAAATTATTTATTTTTTGTTTAGCTATTTCAATCTATAAATTATTATTTATTTTTTGTTTAGTTATTTCAGTCTATAAATTATTATTTATTTTTTGTGTAACTATTTCAGTCTATAAATTATTTATTTTCTGTTTAACTATATCAATCTGTAAAGTATTTATATATTTTTTTGTTGATTTCAGCCAATCAGTAATAGTGTTCACAGCTCACCAACAAAATTTGACACTTCAAATACATCTGTGTCCAGAATTATCTGCGTTTAAAAGTTAAAAAGATGAGTCGTCTTTTCTTGAGACACTGCCATATATAGAAAAGACACCTATAGAAATAGTACATTTCTAGTACTTCTGTAGACTATTTACATGTATTCAATACTCAAATCAACCCCCCAAAATGGAAGCCTCAAAATAGCACTACTACTCTTAGAATGTCTTTGCATTAATAAATGTATAATAGTTTACATTGAAAAGAAACCCATTTCTTTCCTAGAAATTTCAACCAAATAAAAGTTGCAGATTTTGATCTCTGTAAAATCAAGTTTTGTGCTAATGTTTATATTTTTCTACATTTTCAGACATTTTAAGACTAACAGTACTATTTTGAAGTTGCTATTCAAATTCTCATAAAAATACTGAAAAAAATTTGTTTTGCTTCGCTCAGACAATAATCATGGTGGTTTAAAGCTATATATAATGCCATTGTAAAATATATTAGCTATTTTACCTTTATAAAGTCTCTTTCCATATGATATTAATTTAAATATTGAATTTCTCAGTTGATGATGTACCTAGTATTTCTGATTAAGTTAAGTTAAAGGGATTATAAAGAGGTTTTCTAAATGTTTTATGTGTATTGGGGACACTGTAAGCACCAATTTTCACCATTCTAAATTTCAGTCAGACTTCTGTGATTCCTGCAATTACACTAAAACTAAGTGAAAACCTCTTTATAATCTCTTTGATATCTCTCGTGTGTTGTTTGTTTGTTGTGTTGTTTGTTTTTGTGACTTAATTCTTGCTTACACTGATTCTAACCACAAACCAAATAACAAAATAACTTACTCTGACAGTAGATTCAGAAAACTATTATTGAATTTTCAAATCAGAAGAATATATTTGGTTAACCCTGGATGTAAATGAGTTAAAATTCCACAGAGCAATATTCCAGGAAGAATATTATCAGATCATGAATTGAAAGTATAGTAAACTACAGAAAGCACATCTGTTTATAATCAGATTGGATCCATTGTGTCCAAATTTTTTTATTGTTCTTCAAAACTGTCCTTGTAAATCCTAATTATTATCACAATAATTGATGATGCCTTGTGTTGACAAAACTCTGCTCTATTTGTGTTGTTTGTGTGTTCTAATGAAATTAAAAAGTGAAACATTTTACTTGGTATTTATATCAACATTATGTTATGATTATTCTAGAATTGGTGGATACCTTTGTTTTGAAAGGTCGATTCATCTCTAATCTTTCCATAGACAATCTTTGTTTGGTCGATATGACTGAAGTTATTAGTTCCGGGAGGACTAAGACAACAAATAATACATTTTCCGTCTGAATCCATTCATGGACCAATGGCCACAAATCGAAATTGGAATCATAAAAGGGGTTATAAAGAAGTTTTCTTAATTTTGTATGTGTATCAGGGACATATTTAGCATTAATTTTCTCCATTCCTATTTTCTCCTTCAGACGTCTGTGGTTCCTGCAGTTCTATTAAAACTAAGTGTTTGATGACGTCACCAATCTCAAAATATGCTCTATCAGAATCACGTAAGGCCCTTTGCGAATAGTAATATGCGTAATTAATGGTAGATTTTACATGATTATCAATGACCCCTCGGTTGGGTTCGGAATTAATAGCCTAATATTTTGATTAATAGTTTCTAAGTTAGTGCCCCTGCTTGCTCACACGAACAAATCATATTGTAATGTTAGTATGAATAAGAATTAAATTTGGTATACTAATGTAGATTGAAAATATCTTGTGTCGACTATGGCAGGCGGTGCCTTTTCATTATTTTCTTTTCATAAGTGAATTATACATAGGTACAACATATTGCATTGTATAATACCTTATAGGGATGGGTTGTTTTTTCAATTCGACAATTTTATTAATACACCTACTAGACATTGAATAATGCAACAAGGCTGTAGGTGACAAACAAACCTTTAAGGGCACAGTGAACTTTTCAATTTAATTCAAGTACATATTGACTTGTATATTGTATATTGTCAAGGTTGTTAAGTTGTATTCACGCCAAAGTTTTTATGTGTTATAATTGTACTAAATATTATCTTCCTCGGCCCATTGATATATTTTCAACAATAAGTTCATGATAAATATAATTTCTGAAAGGGACAGGTTCGTTATTTTCGGGAGTTGATTTGGGTCTTGAATATAGGTAAATAGTCTTCAAAAGTAGCAGAAATGTACAAAAATTCCTTCAAAAATATATTTTACACAGTCTTAAGAAAAGACTAGTCGTCGTTTTTTTAACTTTTTAACGCGAATAATTCTGGACACATATGGATTTGAAAGCTCAAATTTCGACTTATGGTGATTAACGTTTCTCGTTTCTGAGACTGAGGTACGATTGGACAAACCAATAGCAAACCCCGTCCGTTTGAAATAAAATTCCAACTAAAGCCTATATAGTGACAGGTAGTAGAAAAATCGTGAACCTGATGGATGAAAAGATCGATCGAATTATTGAAAAAACTTATTGTGAATTTCATTTGCTGGTAAGTTTTTGACAGCATCCGATTTCTAAAATGAATTCACCATAACGTAGTTAACGTAACATGAATCGACTCTTATAAAGTATTTAGTTAATTGGGATACAGAGACAACATTCCAAGTTTAATCTCGTGTCAAAACGATGATATATATCAGGATAAACAACATTCATTTATAATTTACGAAGGGTGACCTAATTATACTCGTAATGGGTCAGGAGAAATCTGTGGAAATAACATGAATGGAGTTTACGTCCTACTTTTCTGTACCTGCAGTCTATTGAAGAGTGACAACGCCCGGTAGTGTTCAGTGATGGAAATTTTGCCAGGACTCTTTTTCCACTATATACGAATCTTTAACGTGCCCAGCCCCTAGCACACGAGCCTCAGTTTATTGTCCCATATGAGCGACTAGACACTTTTTCCATGACAGCCCCCTCAGAGTGGCCCAAACCTGCATCACTGACAAAGAGAAACCGGGTTGTAAAGTCTGAAGGTTTTATTCGATTAATGCTGTTAAAGCGTAGTCTGTCGAACCTATATTTGGCAATATAATGACTTATTTTACTTTTTAAAAGAGCATTGAGGCCGAAACAAAATTTTCTTAAGAATGAGCTATGATCTTTCTACATTAATTTGCCGAATTCAAAATGATTCAACTCCAATTATAGACTGAAAGTAACTGTCTCTGGTTTATATGTACAAGTAGATTATAAAATGTGCAAACATGTTAACAAATTACAAGCCCGAGGCAATAATATACATGTTATATATTAAAAAAAGGTATAAAATTACTTGTTTTTCCACACTTTCATCAATCGTCTAGATGATTTAGGTGCATACACCAGTAATATACAAGTATTTATAAGTCACAATATGATGCTCCTCAAGACAAACAAAATTTGGCTTCCAGAATACCTCAGATAGCCCCCAGAAATGAGATTTCTAACACCTCCAGGGCTAGTATTCGGCAGCTATGAAAACCAGGCTTCTAGTCAGGTTGACAGATCTTTGTTCTTACTTCTTTCGATTGACGACAGGTGAATCTCTGGTTGCCAAAATGGTTGTTCAAGAATGTTCAAGAGCATTACAGTCGGATCACAGTAAATTAACTTTATGGAAAAGCTTTTTGGACGTTATAATTTCGAGTGCTTTTTTCAAATTTTCAGGAAAAGCAACGAATTGATTTCATGTTAATCAGTATGTGTATGTATCGTCGATGGTAGTCGATTAATGTCCCATCCGAACAACTAGACGTTTTTTCTATGAGAACAGTCTCGTCTATAGGCATATCACTGTTGCGGGGAAAACCTAGTTGAAAAACCCGATTGTATGACCTTAATATTAGCAAACATGCCTCTAACTCGCAAAACCACGACAAATAAAACATTTATAACATAAACTATATTTCATCATACATAAAAACATTAATATTATACATACAACACAACAATATAAACCGGTTGACCTTATAACTTAAAGTCCATCTCGTCATAAAAATTTTTATCATATTATCTTCTTATAGCAAAAAAAAAGTTGCATTTGTGACTCTGTGATCTGCGTATGATTAACGAAAATAAAAAATGAATCAAATAATATACATCCATGCGTATGACGTCACTAGTGTCTAGAAATTCTATATCAGTCTTGTGTTCACTTAGCAAAAAGTGTTCGCATATCAATAGCATCCAAACGAAAATGCGCACTTGAACTATACCCGGAATATCAAAATGTTTTTTGCTCTCAGTTAAACAAATCCTGTTCTTGTAACTATCGAACCCCATGATTATTGGGGATGGCCTATCATCTGAAATACAGATCTGCTTGATACTTATAAGTCACCTACAAAAAAGATAAGCGCTACTACTAATGACTATATATCTAGTTCAAAACCCAGTTTTGAATATATTAATTTTAGCTCGTGATATAGTTTAAATTTGGATGATAAAAATGGAGTTAATGTGATTCTATTATGTTAATGTGAAAATTGAATTGACATTATTTCATGATAATAACCGGAAATAACAAACGTCCAGCTGATGATGATGAACTGTGGCCTAAATTCCGTGCTTTACGCTGTTATTTGTGTAGAAGAAGTCACCCACAAATGTAGCTACCTAAACTTTTTTGGGGTTGTCGAGAGTATTTAGTGGTCTAGAAAGCATGATAAAGAAACAAGAACCAGGCTTGTAACGAAAGTTATCTTTAAATCCCATATAATCATATAAAATGTAAAACGACGGCTGATTAAAATCAATATCTGTAACATATGCTTCAAATATCATCGACCTTTCCTCCCTTTCACACATTTTACTATTGGCTTTAAAAAAAACATACCATTGACACAAAAAGTAAAGTTCTAGCCAGATCAATATTAACTGCAACATACTGTCTTAATCGCAATCTTATTCAAATGCAGATCTAGATGTTTTTTTTTTTCTTTTTGTGGTGGAATCCACGTGCCTTCCATGATCTGACATGTTGCAATGCAAAGTAAAGATTCACTAAACTTAACAGTAGATGACAATTGTAGCAGTCCTCTGAAGAAACACAAACCAAGGCACCTCGATGAACATTTTAATCAGATGTCATTATCTCTCAATCGGTATCCGGTGCGGAGAAGTGGGTGGGCCTACTTATTCAATAATAAAATAATGGGCGAAATGGAAAGTAAGTCCTCAGCATCCCTAAACATGGATCATTATTTATCAGGGGAGTTAAACCACCTACACACCGAAACAACATGGTTCTGGTTCCATCAAACCAAAAAACTCACACAACATATCATGTAGATCAAACCCCCTCCTTTAAATTGGCTTTGGGAGCAGCTACTAGCCTCAGACCTCCAAACGAAGGTCAATTGAAGCCAGCAAAGGTCATCCACTGATAACAACGAAATCAATAACATCCGTAACACGTGTTGTTGTTATTATCATCGATCTTTCTGTGTTATCAACCAGTATAGCACTCAATCATTTATTATTAATAGGCTATCTATAATGTAATTATAGAGGTCTATATTTAGTTAACCATGGTCCTTTATTTGCATAAGCAGCCAGATGGCTTCCCCATTAACTTCCGAGAGCGATATTTCAAGAGAACTGATGAACTCCGCCTCCAAGACACATATATGTGAGAGTCGTATAACCATCACAGGTTCACCAAGAATGTCAAAGTGGTTGTCCATAGAATAGGAAACAAAATATTAACGTTGTACAGAATTCATGAGCACAAAGTCAGACGATTTTCACCATTGTAGATAAAAGGTGCACTTACATTCATCCGAAAATCGCCAACCGATGGTGTAACTACATTATTATTATGTATATTAACAATTGTTTTTAATACCCCTTAACTTGTATTCTATCATTCATATTGATATCCGGATGTTTTAAATGAACTTTCACTTCCATCTCATCGTCAAAAGAGTCTTTCTTAGGTGGGTATAATGGAAGCAACATGGATGTGGCTCCAGGGCCTGGTTTAACCGAGTCCACAGAAAGTCCATTCACTAAAAGATTCTCTTTATTGTTATTTAAAATATCCACTTTTGTAGTCGTGTATGTTTTGGCTTTAAACTCCACACACGTTTTAAACCACTGTCTACATTCATCCATGTGATAATCCAAAAGAGACACAAACGATTTTTCTGGTCGTTTTGGGTAAATAAAAATAGTGTTTGAAAACTGTCGCGGTTTTACACGGGGTTCGTAATATGTTTTGCTTACAAATCTCTTCCGCGTGGAATCCTTGTAGCAAATCATCGTGTCAGCAAAATGGACAGGAGCTAACGAGGGCTCCAAGTTCACTTTCTCGTTGTACCTCTGCATAGACAGAATATCCACGGAGCTAGATACTGTCCTTTCCTCGTAGTTCGGCAACTGAACAACTGACACTGTCTCTGATATTTGTATTGGGACCATTTTCACTGGAGTAGTGTTTGCCCTACCACCAAACGTATTCAAACTTGTCGTGATAATTGCTAATTCCTTACGACGTCGTAAAACCGGTTTATTTTTACTCTTCGGATTCGCTTCAGTGACGATGTCATTCAGATATAAGTTAAAATCCAACTTATCGGCTACAATCTATAAGTAAAGAAACAAAAAGAATATCATGCAATTTTCAGTCTAAATCGGCTTAAAATAGAATGCTAGATAATGACCTCTTCGCTTGGTTACAGATTCCTCTTTTGTATAAACCTATTGATCCATTTTATCCATTGACATTACTCCAATTGACATGCGCATTAACAACAAGTTAGCAGACGACACTTGGAACACGTGCAAACTTTAATTTCTATACATATATTTATCTATTTGTTAGAATTCGGGCGGGTAACTGAAGTCGGGTAATATTGATTTCAACAAGTTTACAATGAGGTTTTTGTATGAATGAAGGTCAATAAAGGAGACTTATAACATGAAAGAAGAGATAATGTTAATAAAACAGTATGTTCATGAATGTGGCCTTACGACTAGAAGTGCGAAATTGTGTGTATACCCTTTATGCAAATATTGAAGCCCTCAGGATATATTTTACAAAATATTTTCATCTTAAAGGGGGTCTGCTGGGGAATGATAAAAATATAACCCCCTTAGCAATTTTGCACTCATCTTCACGAAGCTATTTTCGTCTTAATACCTTGACTACAATAGCAACCTTTCTTATATCCCGAGGGTTTGTATATGCAACGATTTGATTGGATTGTACGCCAGAGGATTCAGCCAATCAGAGCCCTCGACACACAGACTGTAAACATTATGACTTATTGTTTACAAAATTTCTGTCGAGAACTCTAATAGGCTGTATGAGCGAGCATAAAATCCGATCAAATCGTGATACAAGAATGTGGCTATTGCAGTCAAGGTATGGAACGCAGTTCGTAATAGCATTGAACAATGCCATACGTCTATTATCGCGATATTAACCTATCCCTTTCGTTGCCAGTCTTTACACTTGTCTTTAATTTAAAATATTTGAAAACAAATAGTAAGATAGGTGTGGTATGTACATGCCAGTAATAAGATATGAAGAACTAACTGTACTTCACCTGCATGGTGACATTAACTACACAGTCAAAGGTTAAAGGGATTGTCTTCTTAAAGTGGCACACTTTCCTTTTGAATTTGAAAATCGTATCTAAAATTCCTTTAATTAAACTGTTCAAATTTACAGTAATGCACCTCCATTTAAATATCGATATAACTTTTCATAGTAAAAATCAAACGCAATGTTTGTCTATGATACAATACTTGACAATACTGGAAATAGCGATATACCTTCATCAATAAACTAAGTTAAAGATGACGTCATTATATCTTTGAGATGAAAGGGGAATGCTTAAAACGACCTGGGTACTGTGATTGTCATCACTTCAATCTGTCTTAAATTTGTCTTTTATTCATTTTATGACTTCATTCTTCATAAGATTATACAGCAGAATATTTTGTTCGGCCATGCTAAAGATGGGTTCCCTTATTTTCATTTATGAAAATGAAAATGCTTATTTATATTTATATGAATAGAAGTTTGTCTCACACGTCCATAATTAATTCATAATTAACTAAAGAAGAGAAGAGAATAACCACCAGAATTCAAATGAGTGACTGATCAAGAAAGGTTTATCTAAACTGTACTTATATGGACATTTATGATTGGTTAAAACTCTTAATTACATGCAATATAAGAAAATAATGATATGATTGAAAATACATTATAATTCATAAGAGACACCAATTAATCAAATAGTTTGCTTAATTTGACACTAAAAAAAAGGAAACCCATCTGTAAGGTTCCACAGACAGTGTGGAATTTCAAATGTGGAAGTCAATATGCCAAGTGTCAGGAATAGCGCTGAAAGCAATGAGTTTAGTTTAGTTGGAAACACAAAAGATAAATGCAGAGAGGATTTAAATTTTTAAGTATACATGTACATTCATTTAATCTAAATGGAAATTGTTTTTGTCGTCTAATTGATTGTGAATATTTTTGCTTAATAACCACGCCAAGAGCACAATATTATTGACGTAATAAACAATTTTTTCTAGGGCTTTTTATTCTTTTTATTATATGGGTCATACAGTATGATTTGGATGATTTCACTCAAAATACACAGTGGTCCAAGTATGAGACTTTGCTCGAACCAAATTTCACTCGATTTAATACTTCACTTTATGACCAAGTTGTCTAACATAATTTGGTTTTGATCATGAAGGTAACGACCTATGGCCGCCTGCCTTTAAAGCAGTTTTCAGTATACAGTTCGTTCAGATATGCTCTTGCAACTAAAAGGAAAAGCCAAAGCCAAAAGCAAATTGTGGACTTCTTAAAGGGGGAGGGGCTTAAAAAATTCTAGTCTCCTTGTGTTCAACAATATGGAGTTTTGTTAACAATAACATAGCGAATATAATTTTGTTATCTCCATCATTGTTTTATATACTTTATTTGACTATAATATTTTCAAAAACAGTGTGATTTTCAAAAGGTTTCCCCATTAATTTCAAATATCCTATCCTTTCTATAACTTCGAGATGTACCTTCTACATTTGTGCTTACTTAAAAGGATAAACACATCTTTAAAATGGAACACATAAGGAAATAATATTGAACGTTAAATGTATGAAATAAATTATATTGTATTATATTTTGGGTGTTTCCATTTCTTTCTTTATGCCCGTGAGAAATCATTATTATCTATGTAAAAATATACAAATGGCGCCTTATGTTCATTGTCTTATTTTCTTTATCTTGAAATTCCACATGAAAGTAGGTAGGCTACAGTATATGAGTCTTAAGGTCATTTCGTCCAAACTTTTTCATTGTCCTATTAGGTTTTTCATTAGGGTATTTGCTACATGCAATTTCATTCGCAGGGGTATAAACATAACTTGTTATTTACCAAAGTATAAAAGAAAACTTTGATTCCAAATTTCATGTATGATAATCATTTTAGTTACCCAAAGAGACTCAAGAACTACCCTATTTCATGTATAATAATTCTATTAAAGTCTGCTTTCTGAAAAAGGGTATAAACTCTTAGAACATCAAAGTGTTAGCACGAAATTATCATAAGAAAATACTTAAATTAAGAGTTGTTTTGAATCCTTACCCATTCACGAAGTTGACGAAACCTTCCTTAGAGTGCTACTCCTTATAAACTATCAAATTGAAATTCAAGTTGTCTAATCACCCATTAAATGTATCCTTATCCAGTGAAAGACGGTAATCCTTATGTGCTCTATACACAGTGCGCCTCCACAATGTTTTGACCGGGTGAGAGTAAAGTATGCCCAATTGTCCACAAGCGAACTTCCAGAAATATCAGTATATCGAGTTATTTTATTTTATTGCTTGTTGACACATTTCATATATCACAGAGGATTGGCCGTTTAAAATTTTACTCTATCAGTCAATGCAACTCAATTACCTCAAGTAGGTAGTACAAATGCTAAGTCTGACCTACAATATCAAAGTGATACGACGAATATATTTTAGACGTTACACGAATTCGAATAAATTTCATTGATAAGTTACATAGTTTGCAAGATACGAATTGATTTGATGACAAACGAAAAGTTACATAAGCCTGTAGCATAGGCAAGGTGTAGAACAGTAGTGCCTATAGGGCGTAGACGATGTGTTTGTGTTAAAACTTTGGAATTCGGCCTTTCACACCACCCGTTTTAAATGTTCTTTCAAATATACTTATCTACTTGAAGAAGCTTTTGAATACTTCATAGAGAGTTTCGATTCAACTTTTCAAGTCTATTATGTAACTCAACAATGAAGTTGAAAGTTGGTTTGTTCGCTGTCACAGCATTCTAATTAACAAAAAGGTCACGTGATATATTTATTTCGAATTCTTACATACATGTTAAAGTTATCACCTAATGTAAATAAAGTTTAAATGCATGTTATGTCTTTGTTTGCACAATGATACGAATTTCAAACATGCAGCTACACGTGTGACCTGACAGCGTAATTTATGACATCTGGACCCCGGTTGGTGAGTTAAGCGCTTTTCTCGCTAAACCGAAGGTCCACAGTTCGATCATAGGTCGAGATAATACCTTTGGATTTATCAACTGGGTTTCCCCTTGTCAACGATGCAGGTGGTCGGTGGGGCCGACATTGAAAAATTGTTTGACATTTTTCAAAGGACAATTGGCCTAAAACCAAGGCCAAGTTTGATACAAGACTGTACATGTTACAGATTCTTCGACAAATTGAAATAGCAAATTCGTTTGTAGCTCATGGCACTTTTTCTCATTGCACCCTGCATGTCGTTGCTAAGACGTCAAGTTTAATTTCATTCATTTTTCATTAAAAGAAGCAAAATGTTTGAGAGTCTTTTAACTTTTTAGGTTATTGAGCTTGTATATGGTTTTCTTATAGATAAAAGCATTAATTCGGTATTGTAATATTGCTTAATTCTATGCAAGAGTTATGTACCCTGCATTGACAAGATTCCAGATAATCATACATGTATATTCTCATAGAAAAGTTAGTTTCCTTTGCTACACTGTTTCCGCTTCATGTAGAATGGAATTTCATCAGTCGGTTCAAGAGGTAGGTAAAGAACTATACAGCTATATGCCGTACGCCAGTTATTTAAGTTATTTTAATTAGCAATGAGGTCTATCAAATAAAACATTAGGAGTTTATAAACAGGTTTTCTAAAAAAAAGTATATATATATTGAGGATAGCATCAATTCGCACAATTCCAATTTTCAATCAGACGTCTGTCATTCCTGCAGTTCCGGTAAAACGAAGTGTTTGATGTCGTCATTAATACGTGATAAAGCAAGTTAGTGACATCACCTAACATTTATTTTTTTATGAAATTGCAGGAACCACAGAGTTACCCAGCGTGCTCTTTTTTGGTTATAAATTCATAACATTCTCGGGAAGACACGTTGTATGACAAAGGCCATCTTCACAATCTGAAGCTATTACTGTAATAGCCACCTTGCTAGTATCACAGAAGGTTGTAAATGTAGTGATTTTGGCTGGATTTAACGTTAGCAGATACAGCCAATCAAAACCTTCAACAGAAAGTTGTAAAAATGATACATGTACTATAAATATACTGCTTACCGTTTGTTATCGAGGGCTCTGACTGGCTGTATTCGTTAACGTCCAATCCAATCAAATAGCAGCATTCCATGATACAAGAAATTCGGCTATTGAAGTCACGGAATAAGAAAAGTTCGTATTAACTTGATATTATGAACAAGAGCAAAGGGGTGCAACTCATATCTACAAACGTGGTCAATTCAGCTGGTGACCAGTGAATTAGACTTTATATTTGATTAAGCTTTCTAGAGTCAATACACAAAGTTTTAAAAAACCTCGAAATATCAAAAAAATCATATCCGGGAATTCGACTAAAAATCTCCTGGAAATATCGTTATATAATAAAATCCCGCTAAATCCAACGGACATACGTCACTATAAAGGGTTAGGAGTGCTTATAAAGCCTAATTTAAACTGTAATTATGTATTACTAATGAAAATGATACAGATAATAATACATAATTCCCCCTCCGCTAATTATATGTATATCATCTATAATTAATTAAGACTGTGATGTCACAGAATGGTGAATGAAATAAATTAATATTAACAGTTTTATATAATAGAGAATAATACTGTTAATCATTACACTTGTAATTAAGTTACAAACCCAATCCAGCGTTATTGAGGCATTAATTTCATCATTAGTACAGAGAAGCCGCTTAGTGAGAGCTCAAAATTTTTCTAGTGACTGCAAAGCTGTAGCTTAAGGGATTGTAAAAATACAAATACCAAACATAAGAGTGTTTTTTTCCATTATATATTTCAAATCTAGACCCCCACTTTGCCTCATTTGTACTATGACTGCGCTTCGATCTTTGACTGAAACAGATTCTTGTCTCTTTTCCTATAATAATGGTCATTTGACCAAGTGTATCTTTTTTTTCAGAATGAAATCTAAAATACGGTTTACTGCATATTAAATGAAAGAAACTAAACTCGCCAAAACTTACGTGAGGAGATTTTAAAAGTTTGAACGT